GTTCTGAGCCAATCAGCACCTCAGTGCTAATCTACAGATAATTGAGTTATGGCGCTCTGATGAAGAAGAGTTTTGAGCCAATCAGCACCTCAGTGCTAATCTACAGTATCAGGATGCCTTTACACACCAGACATTCTGTGTCATAAAGAGAGGAGGAAAACATGTCTTCTAGCTCTCGTACAAAGATAACATTTGAATTGAATGACCAGATGATTACAGATGTACAATTAATGATTGTTTTTGTATTCCCAATGAACAGATATGTGTTAAATAGTGGTGATAAATATATTTTATCAGATTACACTTTCACACTAAACTAATTAATTAATTGATATTTTCAGATTTATAAGGTATTGAACAATAAGATATTTCTAATATTATAACAGACAATGTTACTATCCTTAATCATTACCAGGTAAAACAGATGTTTTGATATTGATTACAGTGATGCTCTGAATAAAGAACAGATGTTTTGATTTTTTCCTTTTCAGGTTGTTATACAATAAAATGTTTGATTCTTCAGATTGTTAAACATTTTGAGAATTGTTTAGCTTTCCCTTCAGATTTTGAAATGACATAATGATTGATAGTTGAAGTAATGTAATTAATTAAATATCATGCCTTACTCTTGAATAAAGCGTAATGAAGTAAACGTAAAGTAATGTTAAAGATTGAGGACACTGTAACTTTACAGATTACAGATTGATCGATTCATCACTGTGAATTTATACCTTAACTAGGAACCTTAGCTGGATCTCTCATGATTCTGATTTATACCTCAATTGGATTTATTATAAATCCTAAATTCTAATTGTGTTTTAATAAGTAATTGCCTTAAAGTAAATCTTTGAGATGGAAGATGATTTAGAATTTGTGTTTGATGAATGAGATTAATTGAGTGATAAATGATAAAATATCTTATTTTTGAAACATATATTTTGCTATAATATTGTTGTATTTCATGTGTTTATTATTGTGCCTTTTGACAAAAGATGCCAAGCACTGAAGAGAGATGATTTTTATTATGATTGACTGTGTTCAATCAGGGTGATTGAAATGTTTTCAATCTTGTTCTATTTTTAATGTAATGAATGTATCTGAGCCCACCCAACTCTGAAGACGCTTATTGATTTTAAGTATTGACTGAAATATTCTTAGACTAATGTTAATTGGTTATCAATAGATTGATAAAAAGAGTAAATCTGTAAGAGAATATTTTCATCTGATCTGTTTATAGAGTTTCTTATTGTTTTATAGAATCTGTGATACTGCAAACATCTGCTTGTAGTCAGTCAGAGACTCCTCTGTAGGTTGAGGTCACAGGTCAAACGCTTCTCCTATGTCCGTGGGGGGTTGACCTGGCAGCATCTCTTTGAGACAAGCAGACCATTGTCTCGCATCGGCTATTGATTATACGCGGGCTTTCTGGGAGCCCGCCTCTCCTCGTGTTGGTTAGATGTTTTGTGGCTTTTGGGGCAGAGATTACCTTGGTGGAGCACAAGGACAGTGTGAAACTAGGATGATCTCCCGGCCGTATGTAATTGTCTGTCTCTCAATAAATATCAGTGTATTGACAGGCGAATCCAGTTTCCCTCATTTGATGATGCGCTCAACATTGCTGCAAAGAAGTTTTTACTTCACAAGCAGAGGACACCAAACCAACTGAGACCCCTCTCGCCGCATTTACGCACTGTACAACACACACCTACACACTGTACCACACACACCTACACACTGTACCACACACACCTACAGCTCCTAAAGCATAAGCCGTTGTGTATTTTATTATGTGAAGCAATGGTCTTAGAAAAATATCGACTCTTTGTTTGTAGATATCTACTAAACTAAAGCAAATAAAGAGAGTAGGCCTGTTATACTGAGTGATATATATTATACACACTGCTCTGCTTTCTGCATGGACCTTACAGCTGTTATCTCTGGAAACATCGCGACGCGATGAAAGCAGTTTCTAAAATAATATCCAGGGGATGCATGCATAGCTGTCATTGGCTGAGATAAGTCCGGCCGTGTGTCACGCCTCCACCGTTCCCGGAAATGCATCCGTGGAGGAACCATCAGTGTATCCTCGGTTAGAGCTCCTCCAGAGAGCCTCCTCGACGCTCGATCCTCGGTGTGCATTTAGAGAAATGAGATGTCCTTCAAAATGGCGCGCTGAAATTCATTTCCGGGTCACTACCGAGGACCGAGGAGTCGAGGAGGGGAAATTTGAGTATTGAGAAGCCTCTAACGCATCGGGACAAATATATATACAGTCTATGATCGGGACCAAGCCCCCAGGAAGTGCGCCGGACTCAGATGAAAATATTCGTGCTGGCCAAACGGCGGTACTACACTTCCGTTTGGTTGCCAGGCCCGGAAACACTTTTTCCCCATTGACTTACATGGGGAAAGAGTGGTCTGTAACTCGTTGGATAATTTTTTTTAAACTAAATAAACTACCCAGTATGAACACTTGTAGGCTATAGCCCTTATTAAAAACATTCGTTCCTCAAGTTGTAAAAATGTGCTAATAACGTTATTCTGAGAGTTATTTCCCTCTGCATTATGAGTTTCACTCTCAAAAGTTGGGCCATTTTATCATCATGCGCTAATGAGCAGCTCTCATAGGAATGAATGAGGCCCCGCCTCCCACGCTGTATCCAGTTCTTATTATACATCCATGATCGGGACAGGCAGTCCAAATAAGGCGTGTCACGGTCGACGGCGCGGGACACACCAAATTGAGTTTGGGCGACAGGACACGCTTCGTCTCCCGACTTACGAAAACAGCCGAAATCGGCCTGGTGTGTCAGGGCCTTAAGGCAGCCAGAACAGGAGTAATGTGGTCCCTTTTCCTAACTCTGGTTAGTACACGAGCTGCAGCATTTTGAATCAGCTGAAGCGACTTGACTGACTTCTTGGTACACCCTGATAATAAGGAGTTACAATAATCCAGCCTTGAAGTAACAAATGCATGGACTAGTTTCTCTGCATCGTTTTGAGGCAAGATATGCCTGATTTTTTGCAATGTTACGTAGATGGAAGTAGGCGGTCCTTGAAATTGATTTTATGTAGGCGTTAAAGGATAAATCCTGATCAAATATAACACCAAGATTCCTTACACTCTCACTGGAGGCCAAATTCATGCCATCCATAGTTAGTATATCTTTAGATAATTTGTTTCGTAGATTCTTCGGGCCAAGTACAATAACTTCACTTTTGGTCGTGTTTAACATAAAAAAATGTAAGGTCATCCATGTTTTTAAGTCCTTAAGGCAGTCTTGAATTTTATTTAGATGATTAATTTCATCAGGCTTGATTGATAAATATAGTTGAGTATCATCCGCATAACAATGAAAGTTTACAGAATGATTCCTTATAATATTGCCTAACGGAAGCATATATAATGTGAACAAAATAGGTCCGAGCACTGAGCCCTGTGGCACTCCATGGCTAACTTTGGTTTGCGTGGAAGATTCATCGTTGACACCAATAATCTTTTCAAGTTTCGTAAAAAAAAAGGTTTTTTCTCCAACGAGGTATAGGGGAAAATGTTGAAGCAGGGGATTGTTTGTTGTTGCAATATTACTTTCGGCCACAAGATGTTCACCATGAGTTTGAATCATAGGTTTTAATTTGAACCTTAACACATAGCATACTGTGTGTCAGCAAGATATGACATGACAGTAATGTTTTTCTTTTGGCTAAAAATTCATTTTATTGTTGCTAATCTTCTGCTGTTGTTATTATTGGGAACATGGGGTAGTGGTGCACACAACAAAAATAATCTTGAAAATAAATCTGCCCAATGTTTTGCAATGATCATGGAATACACTTTGTTCCACTGTTCTGAGATCATAAACAAAGGAGAACAATTGTTTTTGTGTACAGAGTAACTTAAGATAAATCAGTGTCCTTTCTCGTACACGTGTCCTCTTTAGACCTTTTCTTTACTTTATCAGTTCAGATGAACAAACGACCTAAATGGACTCTGACCTGAGTTTCAACAGTCACATTAAAACAATTACTAAATCAGCCTACTATCACCTAAAGAATATATCTAGGATTAAAAGACTAATGTCACAGCAGGATTTGGAAAAACTTGTCCATGCTTTTATCTTCAGTAGACTGGACTACTGTAATGGTGTCTTTACAGGTCTCACTAAAAAATCTATTAGAAAGCTGCAGCTGATTCAGAACGCCGCTGCTCGAGTCCTCACTAACACTAAGAAAGTGGATCACATCACTTCTGTTCTGAAGTCTTTACACTGGCTTCCTGTGTGTCAAAGAATAGATTTCAAAATACTGCTGCTGGTTTATAAAGCACTGAATGTTTTAGGCCCAAAATACATTTCTGACCTCCTGCTAAATTATGAACCATCCAGATCTCTCAGGTCTTCAGTGACTGGTCAGCTTTCTGTCTCCAGGGTCAGAACTAAACATGGTAAAGCAGCGTTCAGTTATTATGCTCCAAATATCTGGAACAAACTCCCAGAAACCTGCAGGTCCGCTGCAACTCTTACTACTTTTAAATCCAGGCTGAACACTTATCTTTTTGCCGCTGCTTTTAATTGAAGAGCGGTTGTGTTTCGTTTTTGGTTAATGAACATTTGGGGCTAGTAACCCCAGGGAATCAGTGTCCTGGCTGATTTTCTCTGTGTATGCTGCTCAGGACGTATGTGCCATACAAGCGTACACAGCTCATGTTCGGAGAAACCTTAAAGAAAGGCATCAGTAAAGTGGAACTTCTGTGTGAACTATTCATATCTTAAACTGCACTGTAACTTTTTATTCATGTACTTTTTATTAATGTATTTTTCCTTTTAATATTTATTTTATTATCTTTTCTTTTTAATGACTGTTTTTAAATGCCTTTGTCTGAATGTCTTTCATTTTTGTAAAGCACCTTGAATTGCCTTGTGTTGAAAGGTGCTATATAAATAAACTTGCCTTGTCTTGCCTAAATGATGATGAAGCCTCAGCGTAATTTCATTGTCATGATTCAAAGTCCAACTGTTGCAATAACATGCAACAACTTCAACTGCTGAAAGAACAGGAAAGGATTCATGGGGATAAGGATTTTAAAATCATGGCTTAAGTAAGTAACCTTGTTTTATCTGCTAAATAAAATAGATCTTAGTTGTATTTTATGTATATAACCTTTGGAATAACTGTGGATTGGTTCTATAAACAAGGTTGGGGCATTTGTCAAATTCTGACCTTTTGTAAAACATGTGAGATTTTTTCTATGAAAAAACACATCTAAAAACATAGTCAGTTACAGCCGGCAACATTTTCAATCATGTAATGGCATAAAATCATGAGCTAAAATAAATCCCTCTTATATAATATATTATTTAACCAGGAAAGAGATTAATACCAGGAGCACACACGCCATTGAGAAAACACACTGACAGTATAAGTATGACATGTACAACAATGACTTTTGAAAGAGGTAAAATGCTTACATAATGTAAAATAGCTATCAGCAGGCAACGCAGCATAACAGAGAATCGGAGAAGTAATGTGACAAATGTACTTAACATTGTATGTACTGTGTTTTGATTCACCTTAGTTTATTGGTTATGTCTATTTGTTTTTTATTTTCGATTATAGTATTAGTCAGACCTCATATTTACACTATTTTATTACATGTCTTTCTTTTGTCTGGTGTTCAGGGATTGTTATGGTGGGTTTTCTATGATGTGGTTTTGAGATGTAAAAAATGCCATAAATGAAGACTTAACTATTTCCTTTTTTTGTTGTTGCAGGTGAAGGATTTATATTGAACTGTCCAGGAAGTGATCCACCAAGGCCACAGGATGGCAAAAAGTGTCATGGTAGCCTATGTCCTGTGGGCAATGGGTGGGCCTTTGGGCCTTCACCATGTATATTTAGGAAGAGACAGCCATGCTCTGTTATGGATGCTCACCCTGGGAGGATTCGGGTTTGGCTGGGTCAGAGAGTTCATACGTATTCCTGCATATGTTGGCGAGGCCAATCAAGAGGCAGAAAAAGACAGAAAAATACGTCCCACTATGGTCCTCCCACCTGTGAGCCCTGTCAGATTTGTTGGACAGGTGTTTGTTGGGATCTATTTTGGCACCGTGGCTCTGATTGGACTGAACTCCCTCAGCTTCTTCTACTTGATTGTCCTGCCTTTATGTGTGGGTGCAGGGGTACATCTGGTGTCATGTATCGGCCAGCAGACCTCCGATCTCAGGAAAACGTTGACTACTTGTCTCATAACCTCCCCAATATTCTATGGCAGCAGCTTATCCCCCCTCCCTATAAGCCTGGCTGCCAGTGTTACTGCTGCATCGTACCGCAGGCACAGACCTCCACCGCCACCAGGGAGCTCACAGAAACTAGGTGAGAACACCTCGCAAGACAACACCATCAGTTCTACTTGTACTTTCACTGTCCCTCACCAAACCTTTAAGATTCACTACAATTAAATGTTCTTCTGTCTTATTTAGGACCACGGATTTACAGGCTTGGTCTGGCCTGGCTGGCCTTCTCTGCTCCGCTGGGTTACTGTATTTTCCATAACACCACAGCCACACTGTACTATCTGTCTGACTGTGTAGCAGCACTGCTGGATATGTTCTGGTTCCTGCCTTGGCTCCGAAATGTGTTTGAGTACATTCTTTTAATGCCATATCGGCTCTTGTGTGTAATTACTGGAGGGGGTTACTATGAAGACGCTTGGAGGAGGATGTTGGAAATACTTTTGAAAGATTACACTGAGAAAGAAAAAGAGGCTCTGCGAGTGAGTAAACACATACCTCTGAAAAGGCTAGGTGACATATGCCTTAAGGTGTATACTGTGCATCAGTCTGAGCATTTTTAGCATGTAAAGCAACTCATCTGGCTTTGTCATAATCTCAAAACTGTGTATGTACACATATTTGTGTTGCAGGTCTTGTCATTGGAAATAGAGGCCTCCCTAGAAGACATAACACACAGCTATAGGGAACTGGCCAAGACATGGCATCCAGACCATAACCCCAGCAAGGATGCTGAGGCCATGTTTGTGAAGATCAATGAGGCTTATGAGATCCTTCTACGACGGCACAAACCTCAGAAATTCAAATAGTACCCTGAATAAAGTGAGACTCTTGATGACATTGATTTTCAGTCATTTTTTATATTCTGTATTGAAAATCAATCAAAAAAACAAACAAAAAGACTTACACAGCATTTCACAGAGTACTTGGCATATTTAGTCTCAAGCAGCACTTTGCTGCCACCTTGTGTTGTTACAGGTGTAATGTCACCATAAACTATTTCATCACAATAATTGTACTTGTTTCACTGTGTGCTTTCTTGCTATTACATGCTTGCCTAACAACACCAAGTTGCCTACATATCCTGTAATTTTAGAGCATTTCAATAAAAAAAAAATTAAATTATGTTATGTTCATATTATTATAGCTAGTTCAAAGACAGATGCCAAAAAAGGGAAATAACTTGTAAAAAAAAAAAACCTACTGCTTTGAATAACTTGATAACATGTAGCAGGTAAACTGGCCTTTGTGCAGCCAGTGTGTCTTTATCCAAACAAATATGTATGCTCATCAGCCAAAATAAGTCTGCCTATTAGTTATTGCCACGGCAAACATAACATCACATTTTTAGCACCTGTACACGAAGCTGACATGCATCGATGCATTCGGCGATCACTGAATCAAGAGCTCTGTTGTACAATTATTCGGTCTGTATCCCAGCATGGGCCCGGAAGTTGTTTGGGATTCCCAGGTAAAAAAAAAAAAAAATCCCGGAGATGCTGTCGTCGCCTGGGAAAACAAAAAGCCATCCAGACAATTAAAAAAGGAAAACACCGATCGGTCGCCAGGTAAGGTGAAGGCTTGTGGACTTCACCGCGGCGCTCGGTAAGACCATCCGTCGGTTTTGATGTGGAAGTGCGGCATGTTTTTGAATAGTTGGTTGGGTGAATGCCATTTGTCGTGTGGTCGGGTGCCATAGCAACGGCTCATGAGAAACATTGTATAGCCCTGGCCGGTTTGACGTGCTCGATGTTGGATGACAGCCGCCTTCATGCGGACAATTTGGACTGGGGCAACTCCTGCAACAAATTGTCGTGTTGTCTAGCCGCTGTCTCGACCGTCTATAAGCTGATTGGTGTCATACATTAACGGAGCACATCCACCAAGCAGCTACAACAAGTAGCCACGCTTATGGCAGAAGAAGAGGCTTGATAGTTATTTGAACATGTAAAGCAGTATGTTTTATAGCACAGTCGCCCTGAAAGGACTGTCAGACAAGGGTTGTCGCTGGTGCGCGCCCCCCCCTTTATTTTTTTTAATCGCCGTGCCCTGGTGTGACTGGCGCGTCTCCGGGCTGCATCAGCGCCTGTTGCTCCCCATGCGCGGCCAATGCCAGGATATTCATTTTCCCTGCGATCCGTTGTCTCCGCCCCCCCTTCCCGCTTCACAGTCTCCTCTGTCCATTGTTGTTGTCATCCATTTGAGCAAAAGGTGCAGCATCTGTGTTATTTTTCTGTCCATTTTTTTTCCATCATGAAAATAAACCTAGCTTCACCATAACTGTGGTCACAAAAAAAATCAACATGTTCTCTGGAAACCTTGTTACTCTACACCGCCAATGTTGAAAATGTGTTGCATACCACTTGAGGTAACTGCACTATGTAACCTAGAATTAAAAACCCAAATGAATAATTATTATCCAATTACAAGTATGCAGAGGGGGTGGACAAATAACAGGAACAGTAGAACTAAAAAATATATATATATCCTGTATTCTCAAAAAAAAATTAGAAGGTTTATGAAGCTATATAATTACGGAATATATCATACATATGCTGGATTTGCAAATACATGTATGAACACTGGTTAAGGAACATACTATTTATAGCTTTATAACTTGGATTTGCAAAAATCTTTATTGTAGCCATAAAGTAATGTTCTTATCCATACGTATTCTTTCAATCTCTGTCTTCTTGTTCTGCTCTATTGCTTAATTTCCCTCCTTGAGTCAATGAGGTTTAAGATGTTCCAGCTATTTTGTCCAACCCTGGAGTTTTAACTCCTCCTCTAAAACTTTAAGTCTGTAGAAATGTGAGACTTCTCATATTCATTTGCTGGCCACGGCATGGAAGAATCTACATGATACATAAGGGCAGAAGTTTACTTAATTAATATATAACAGTGAACTAAGACACTTAGATCCGAAAGCAAAGAGCTATATATTTGCTATTCTTATTCTTGTAACAAAGAGCTGGTAAGGATATTTTATATGGTAAGCAGCCAAGTTGATATATGCTATTTTCATGTGATTAACATTTAAGAAATTAATTCAACAACAATTTGAAAATAGTAACATTTAGATTTTTGTATCCTATTTTTGTAGGCATCTGGGGAGAGAATGAATGCTGATGACTGCAATGGACGCTCATATGCACCAGGTACATTTATATGTAAAGAAGTAACTTTGTATATTGGTAGGTACAGTCTCCAGGCTTCAATGTTTCCCTTAATAACATGGGCATTATTGTGTTTCAGGTAATGGAGGAGAATCATCTACGGAACAGGATTTTTATAGCGGGTCGCAGGGCCCTTCAGTAAGATCTCCAAACAGTCAGCAGTCCTCACCACACCGCTCCCTTAGTGGTCAGTTATTATACCCCGGTTTTCATTGTGGCCCCATAGTCTGTATGAAATGAATATTTTAAGTCAATGAGTTTTCTTTCCCTTACCCTCTCTACTCAGAAAACTCCATCAAGGTCGAGCTGTGCAGCGATGATGAGTCACCAGGTGCTCCACAGCCGGAGAACAGAGAGGCTGTGAGGGACGATATCAGGAGGGATGACCCCATGGAGGAAGGGAGCACAGAGTACGCTAGGGCTGGAAAAGACGGAGGAAGCATTTACAATGACATGGCCAGTCCAAATACTTCTTCACCAGGACCTATCCGGCTCCCCAATGGGAAGCTCCAGTGTGAGGTGTGTGGGATGATCTGCATTGGACCCAACGTGCTGATGGTGCACAAGCGTAGCCACACAGGTGAGGACAAGCCAACAAGTACATTTTAGAGACAGAATACTACCTTCAATGTCATTAAATCCTCTGTCCATTTATCCATGTGTTCATAGGTGAGAGGCCGTTCCAGTGTAACCAGTGTGGAGCTTCCTTCACCCAGAAGGGGAACTTGTTGCGCCACATCAAGTTGCATTCAGGAGAGAAGCCTTTTAAATGTCACGTCTGCAACTACGCTTGTCGCCGGAGAGACGCCCTGGCTGGACATCTGCGCACACATGCAGGTAAAGTGAGCTTTAAGTGCCAGACAACAGGAACTATCATCAAAAGCATGAAGAGCTTTTTCATGTACCTAATTATTTAGTGAACCTGATGGATGCAGTTGTCCCATAACATTATTATTACTTGTATTATGATGAAGGCTATAAAGTGTGTAACAGTGGGGATTCATTAGAACGGCCCCCTTCTGTGAAGAAAGTAGGAAGTCATCTTCACCAGAATGTACTGTAAAACACATGACTAAATATGACATTTAACAGTTTTTGAAAACAGGAAATCCTGTTGGCTCTATAGATTTTGGAACACACATTCAACAGGTGTTGACACCCTCTAGTTACAGTAGGTCTTGTTTGGTGGATTTCCTCGGGTCTCAGGTTCATTTTCGAAGAAAAGATTCTTGCAAACTGGATTTCAGCGAATTGACGTCAGTCTTTTCGACGGCTTTCGGAGAGGAAACGTTGCGGTGAAGGGTGAGGCGTTTTCTGTCATCAGTGGCGAGCAATATAAAACGATTTCAGGAATTGCCAATCAACGGGGAAATCCATTTTCTCATACCTAGCCATAAATAAGTTATATTTTGCAAAAATCCCCTCCAACAAACACAATAATAAACATCACCACTATGGGTTTAGGTTTGATCAACAGTTTCCTTCGTCTAAGGTTTTTTTGTTGGGCCAGATAGTGCCTTCATTGATAGGTAAAGGCGAAGGGGGAAGACAGATGGAAAGACGTTCTATGATAGTGAGTTGAACCCGCATACTTGGCAGTGGAGACCACATATGGGCCGCTGGCAATAATCACTGAGCTACCCGCATATCCGATTTAATATATTTTCTGAATTTTCTGAATTGCAGCCTCTTCTCCAACCGTGGGCAAACCTTTCAAGTGCAGCTATTGTAGTCGCAGCTACAAACAACAGAGCACACTGGATGAACATCTAGAGCGCTGCCATAGTTATCTGAAGAGTTTGGAGCACCAGACAGCACAGGGTAACATATCAAGCAATCATGAAACTCATCAACAAATGTATACGTTTCTGCATTGTTGTAAATGCAAATAGATTGAATAAAGAAAGTTTAACATATTTATGCACATGAGTTATTTGGTATATTGATGACTATGTGTTTTCTGTTTTAAGGTGAAGAGTCAGTAAATATGGAGACAATTACTAAAGCTCTGCTCCAGCCATCCAATGAAAAAGTCCAGTTTGTGGATAGACTGGCTATCAGCATCACCAAACGCAAGAGGTCAACGCCACAGAAGTTTTTAGGTGAGTTTATTTTTGATAAAGACAATCCATGTTTGTCAGAATTAGTAAGTGTACTGTATAACATACTATGCATGCATAATCCTTTTTAAAATGTCCATTATATAGTTATATTGATATGTTTTGTCTAATGTCAACAGTTGTCCTGCAGTAACAAGTCAGAATCGATGTTAATTGTTATAATGCCTCCGCATCAGCGTTGTGTTGTCAATCACTTTCTCATTCTTTACATCCATTTGTCCCATTCTCAAGAACCCAATATCACAGGAAAGCATTCAAGTTTTCTTTCTTATTTGGCACAATAACATCCACTTCCACTGAAGGATGAACCGATTAGATGTTGGTTGTCAAAAAGGTCAAAGGTCACTGTGACCTTACAACATTTTTATTTTCTGTTCCTCAATAATTGATATGCTAATCATGACAATCTCAAATAAATTCAAAGCATTCGACCGCGAGGCGGGAAATAGTGATTATTGATATTCCTTCTCACAGGTGAAAAGCACATGCACCTTGACCTACCTGAAGCACCTTATGAATTGTCCTCCGGCTCTGAGAAAGAGGGGGACATCATGAGCTCTCAGACAGCAGGGAACCTTGTTGGGTTGGCTGGTTCCCGTCTCCAAGGCAGCAGGGGTAAAGGGGAACACCTTGAGCCACCTGCCCTGTCTCAGCTCCATCCTGCCTTCCTGACGGAGCTACGCACGGTTATGGGCTCAATCAAAAGCAACGTGAATCCTCAAGGCCCCAGAGCACGTGGTGGGGGTGGGCTGGTGGCAGTGTCACTAGGCCTCGCTGGGCATGAGGTAGGTGAAGGCCGTGATGACCAACGCTCAGCCCCCAGCCACACTGCCTCGCCCAACGGCTGCCCCGACTCTACAGACACAGAGAGCACAGCAGAAGAACAGAGCACAAGGGCTACAGCCCCGACAAGTACCTCCAACAACCACCACCTCCACTACCAGACCCCAGCACTGCCCCGCAACCATCCCACTTCCAGCCCCAGGCGGGCCAAAGACTTGGAGTGGGAGAGAGCGTGTCCTGTGCCCCCCACCATAGCAAAGAGGAACCCTGTCTCACCCCTTTCTTCCAGGGGGACTGTGCAGGTGTTAGACAGGGATGGCCGGGCTGTGAGCTCCTTCCACTGCCAGCACTGTCGCATCCTCTTCCTTGACCATGTCATGTTCACCATCCACATGGGTTGCCACGGCTTCCGCCAACCCTTCGAATGCAACATCTGTGGCCACCGCAGCCAGGACCGCTACGAGTTCTCGTCTCACATCAGCCGCGGAGAGCATCAGGTGGACTGAGGAGAGGGGATAGTAGACAAATTAGGAGAGGTGACTGTTGCGCTTTAAAGTTGTAGGCTCCTGTTTGTTCTGCACCAGATCAGTTGCTTTAAATCCCTAGTGTAGGTAGAAGGATATGTGGTTTTATTGTGAGGATATTTATTAAACTAAAGTGAGTAAAACAATCTTTTTACCGCATCATTTAAAGTTCAGTGGAGGCAAAATACATTCTATGATTGATTGCACTCCCATATCAAATCATCTGGCAAAACAACTGGTTTTGCTTCAAAAGTGCCTTCTTTGGGGATTTCCTCTCGACTTAAAAAAAATGGAGGGGAAGTGGTGCTCAAAAAAACTTGACTAGCCATCTTTTACTAAGTGATTTAGTTAGCACCTTTTAAAGGTCATGTGCACAGGCTGTTAAGGAAAGCATGGCATGTACATTTTATTAATTCTATTTGGTACGCTAAGAATGCACTAAGAGCTTTGTCTTTGTGGTTGAGGAGGGTACTGTGTTGTGTGTCAGGTAAGCCTAATATGCACTGAGAGCTTTGTAGCTCTGGGTTTAGGAAAAGCTTTTGTCAGAGACAAAGCACAGAAATGGATTGCCTTAACTCTTACAGTAGTGTGTTGCTGTGGGAATACATTGTTTACAGCATGTGTGAAGTCACCTCAATGCTTCACAGAGAGACAACGCAGTGAGACTATCAGGACAAAATGAAATTGTGAGGGGAAATGAACTCGAAAACATTTTAGGGCCTTCAGGGCTTAGGCTTAGAACAGTTTTTTAGGATTTTAAAGTGAGCCTTAGAATACTGGTGCAGATCAGACCAGGAGCCTTGTCATGAGATGGCCCAGAGTGCTTTTACAGGATTGCACTTTTTAGGTTCCCTGCTTATATATGAACATCCTTGCCTAATCACTTGATGGCTTTACAATTTGTTTTTTGTTTTACTGCACTGATAAATTGCATAGTAATCACAATAATTGATCATCTAATTTGCAACACCAGTGTATTTTTAACAGAGCTGACATTTTACAGAAACCCACCATGTGCACTGGTTCTGTGGTCTACACTCAAGTTTGCTGCAATGTGTAACTGAGAATTAAAAAATCTGTTAAACTACAATCGTTATTTTGTAGTTTTGCACTCAGCAGGTAAGGCTGAGTTTTTAAACAGTTTGCATAATGAGAAAACAAATTAATTTAATTAATATTGAAAAATTAACAAATCAGTTTGGATCTGTCAGTTATCCCTTGTGATTATCTATTTAGTGTTGTTTGTTTTAGCCTTGGTGTATTTAATCAGCTATATTCCAAATCTTATCCAGCATATTCCTCAAGTCCATGAAATGTTACCTCCTGCTTCTTTATAGCACCCTAATACCTTATTGCTACAGTATGGTGAGTTATCTGATAATGTTAATATTGGGAACATGAATGACACCAAACTCAGTATTCTTACTTGTTATTGTTGGTTTGCTGCTTCATAGTTTAACTTAATTTCCTTCGATTGCAGGCAAAAATATACTTGAAACTGTTCGAGAAAAAAGTAATCTAAAAATGCACTTGGTTTGATAAATAGAGAAATGTGTGTGAATGGAATATAGCATGTGTGCTTGTAATTTTCTGCTTTTCACTGGATTGCGAATTATTTTTGAAAATGTGAAGTGATTTCAAGAAGTGAAAATGAGGCATGGGTTTTTGTCTCCTTGTGTGGACTTTTCAATGTTATACGATATTTTGTGAAAGATGTAACATGACAAAACACTTTACCTCAAAGTTAAAGATGTAAAACTGCCTCATTATTTTAACAAGTCGTGTTGCTTTTCAAGATGTTCTTGCCGTTACAAATGCGTGCCCCTTGATATTCTCCAAACTTTTTACTGTCAATAAAGTTGAGTTTATTGTTAAAGTGATTTTCTGGTTTGACTTATACATTAAGAGTTTTTCCATCAGTTTCTCAATGAACAAAAGGTCTTAAAAAAACATAAAATCGTAAAATATATTATATATTGTCACCCTAAAGTAAATATTATGTATTTATCTATTGTATTTTCCAGTGTTGCTTTAATATATCTTAACAAGTTTTTAATATATTTGAACTTTAAATTGAATGTTAAGCCTTCAAAGATAAATAAGCAGTTAATTTCTTCCGAGAAATACATTTGAAAACAGGAAAGTGTTAAAAATGAATAAGGCTTAAAATAGTCTGCCTTATATTCACACCGACATTTGGCCTTTGTGACTTTTGTTATGTCAGATTCAGGTTGCTTTTGACCTTTTTCCCTCTGCAGTGGAAACTCTGTCTGCAATTCAGAAAGTACATAAAAAAAGACAACCCTTTCAGTGAATGGCAGCAATCAGAAGTGCAAATAACCAAATTATGTAAAACCCACATACGAAAACACAGCGTATTCTTCCTTGCTTTGACAACACACATTGCTGCAGTGTGTGACCTTAAATTGAAGTGAACTGAAGGAGAGTTCAACAATGTGTTTTAATTTGAAATGTTTCTAATCCTTGACTACAATTCATAACCACTTCTTAGTGTGTCTATCACTAGATTTAGAGAGACTTTTGTTGAGTCAGTTTCAGGTTGGTTGTTTCTGCAGTGGAACCATTTGAAAACTGCTCAGAATCCCGTTTTTTTCCATCTGCAGTGGAAATTCCGTTGAGCTCCTACAAATTTCGGGGTGCAATTCAAAAAATATTAGCAAAGCCAGCCCCAAGTGAATGACACCAATCTTCATGTACAAAATAATAATTACATGTAAAATCCACATATGACTACTCAGAATATAGTGTCTCACTTTGACAACTCACACTTCTAGATCTAAGTGACCTTAAATGCCCCCATTTGTACTGAAGTAGAATTTTAAAATGTAAATTAGATTTCAATTTTCTGACCTTTGACTACACGTGCAAATCCGAACCATTTGTTAGTGCAAATTTCACTAGAACAATAAACAGCACAAGGAAATACAACATTTATTAATTCACGGCTTCTGAATGGGGTAACCCTTTTCAGTCAGGCTGTCACTGCCTCTATAAACATTAATATTTTTTAAAGATAAGAGATGTTGAAACTATGTAATGTACACATGATGGGGGATTTCAATCATTAAAGGTAAGGATTTACTTGAGAACTTGAGAAATATCCGTACTTGTGGGATGCACAGATTTTACAATTCTGAGGAAATAATCTGCCCACAATCCCTATTTGAATAGACTGAGTTTTAGTTGTGAATTTACGTTTCCAAATAATTGCCTTTCAACAGGAAGCTTTCGGTAAGCTTGTTCTTTTGATTCATTCTGTAATGTGTTAACCCACCCAATTTACAATACAAATATTACATACAAAGGGGACTAAAGTACAATAAAAAGAGTTGTCTTGTTTTTCCATTTTAGCTACTACTATGTATGTGGAGTCACTGAGTCACATGATAAGAAAGTTATTTAAAATAAAAAGAATATTATTATATTACATAGATTTATATTAAATAGAAAAACACTGATAAACAATAACAAGAGTTGTGTCCTACCTGCCCAGTGGCGTAACACAATGCTGCAATTATTGGTGTCTTTGGGTCACAAGACCTGGAAACAGATGAAAAAATGATCAGTAAAAAACAGCTGAATTTTGTATTTGTTTACTAAATGAATTGCTACAATTAAAAAATAAAGTCGAGGTGGGTCTTCTTAGGTCGGTGTCCAGGAGGGGCGGAATGGGACTCAAAATCAGCCCTGGAATCTCATATTATTTAAACGGTAGCCGAATGTATTGATTGTCCCTAAGTGAACCCCTGAGGTTAACATCTACTGTATAAAGGTGGTTCAGATCGAGGCCTCGGATGTGAGCTAACCGTCCTACAGACACTGTGAAACTGGGGAAGAAGACGCCACTGGATGACTGGATCCAGAGTGAATGTCTGTCAAACACCAACCTGAAATAACTGATTACCATTCACGTCCTTGGCTTTTCTTTTTAAATGTGTTTGTTCAAAAAGTTAGTAACGTTACATCAACAAACATTGTGAGCACACCGTTAGGCCTACACAGCCACACATTGTGGATGGTGAAACAAGCTATGTATTTCTGTAAGAGTAGCCTACCTACTAAGTTGTTATATTCTCCCTTTCTTTATCCTTTCGCAATATTCTGCCACATAGATACTTTATAAACTATTTGTGTTAGGAAACCTAGGATTTGATGCTTCCTGTGTTTTAAAGCAGCTTATACGTTACCTGCTAACGTTAGCATTACTGCTCCACTCACCTGAGAAGTGACTCGAGACCTCAGGTAAGTTAACTGCCCATTTAACATAATTTAACGTCAATGTATTGTATTCTTTCCGTTTTTTTTCTTTTGAGACTATAATAAACCTTGTTTTAGTCAAGGATATTAATATGTCGTCTATCGGCTCACTTTGTTGTTGGGACACTCGAGCAGAGGAAACCCATTATTCCCTCCTAAAGTGTCCTAACTGTAAGCGTAAAAAAGGCAGTTTAACCCGTCTTTCTGTTCTTGTAGCATATATCTTCGTCTCTTTTTGTGTACCATTAACTTTCTCAACAAGTGTGTCACTTCTGCAGTGCAAATATAGATAGTTTTGTTTGATACTGTGTAACACGACGTTTATTTCACTAGATGGCAACACTGCTCTTTAACGCTGACTTGACTAGGGCCATGTCTTCTCTTTGCTCTGCTGGGCAGCACTTTTTAGCATGAGCTACTGCTGCACAGTTGTAAAACATACAGTGAATTCCAGATATGAGTTTAGCTTATATTTTGTGCATGTTCTTTTTGCATGTTTCTCCATTCACCCTAAATTAGAGACCACTGGGCTTTTGGTAACTGAATTGTAGGCCTATGTAGAATGTGTTCAGCAGTACATTTGAAATGGTCGACTACACTCCTTTGTACAAGTAAATATATTGGCTCATTAGTTAGCATTATTGTCTCAAGGATGTTTTGTGTTAAAATTCCAAAACAAGTACTTATTAAGGTGTGCTTGTGTGAAGCAATCTTTCCTCAGATACTGTATATCTCCTATCCTTATCATTCCTTCTCCAGGGACCCACGGGAGCATTGCAGGTGAAATATAACCCTGAAGATGAAGTCTTGCTATTTCTCTGAAGACCACATTTCTTCATAAACAAGAAAGGAGACCCCTTAGAAAAATATCCACCCCTGCAGTGCAAACACAGGTAAACACTCCCACACCATTAGTATCTAGACTAATGTGCGGACAATACAGTGTACAATTCACCTGACATATCTTACATTTGCAGTTCTCTATAAGCCACATTATTAATCTATCTTCTAAACAGTAAATCAATTCGAATTTTAATAAACCTCAAGTCCCCTGGCTGATAAATGTGTAACTGGTAGCCTATCAAAATAAAAACAATTATTATATCATGCTAACACACCCATTTGCCTTTTTAGATGATCCAGATGCTAGAAAAGTAGCAGCCAAGCAAAACCAATATGTCTTCCAATGAGCTGCTTACTGGAGCTTTAATGGGCTACAATATGCATGTGATATTAATTAATGGAATTTTTGTGCCATTTCAAATATACAAAGAATGTGTTTATTTTTCAACAGCTAAGTGTCAGCCAAGGACACATTAGGGTGAACCCAGCATGCAATTATTATTTTGGTGGTCTTGTCTGCAAGGCAATGCTGAGGGTTCAGTGTCCATTCAACATTTGTTGATAGCTGTAGCATCCCAAATTATGACATTTTCATAATTTAACTCTGCAATTTGGTCAACAACATGCCACATTTTATGTCCCTAAATTAAACACATTTGTACATCAAATCACAGCACTTCTGCAGTGTAGCTCACCCAGCTTGTGTGTGACACTCACACAGTACTCATTTAGGGGCCAGAAGGAACTTTCTAGGGTGCAAAATGTACTGAAAGCTTGCTGGCACACTTTGTAGGACAGCTCTTGCTCTGGAAGTGATTAGCCCTCAAAGCTTGTATGAGTATTTTGCAGAGAGACAAGGGCGGGTGGGAGCAGTATCATGTGTGCATGCGTGAGTGGGAAATGGAGAAAGAACTTGTATGTGTTTTGAGAGAGAGGGAGATTGGGCCGGTTCAGTTATGCAAGCAGTTCTCAGTATGCATGTAAATTGGAAGATGTGTGGCTCCTGTGGTTGGCTGTCCCCTGTGTCACTGCCTTTAAAAAACAGTTGCCAAGAGAAAGGTCTTCTTTACAGGCTTTGGCTGCCAGATGCTAGGGATAATGGATAGGACTGCAGAAGGAAAGATGGAGAGGTGCGTACAGCCAGCCACACACGCATATGAATACACACACACATTCACACGTTGCACACTTTGTGGGCAGGGCTCTCCATAATGCTGAGATAAGGCGTGCATAATTCATCTTGAAGTCACTGTTGTACAACTGCCACACACACACACACACACACACACACACACACACACACACACACACACACACACACATACAACCACACACATTGACACACAGGGGAATTATTAGGCCTAGTAAGTCATGTCACACTAAGTCGATTGAATGAGCATATGGGTTGGGCATGCTTACAGATTCCAGAGGTGGCACATTTTGTTGATGTGTGCATAAGGGGGGAGTTGTGTCTGTGCAGCCGTGAAGCGACACATGGGGCGCCAGTGTGTGAATGCCATAATGTGTCTGCGAGAGCAATAGCCAGTGACACAGGAATGTGTCATAGTGCCTGCAAGCCTCTCAGCTCCTAAACTGCAGCAAATAAACATTCCTCTACTGCTGTGTCAGTGCTGAGCCCTCGCCCACTGTCGCTGTAAAACACAGCTTGTAATTAAAACCAAAAACTGAGCATTTTTCCTTTTGTTTCCAACAGTATTACTACAATAGAGGGCCCTATGTCTTCAGAAATGTCTCAGTACTGTTTATTGGCATGTTTTGGTCCAGATATGTGTCAAAGTGAGCCAACTGATAATAAATCCATCAGAATCATCTTTATTGGTTCAGTGCAGTTACAGTAATTCTAGTTAATCATAGTTTACTGTGTAGCACAATTATCTCACATCTAGTAAGAAATGCAGTAACTGTACAAAAACATCAAACATACTGACAGTTTAGATTCTGATGAAGATAACTGTTAACATAGATATTGTTGATATAGCCGGACACATATTGCTGTCATTTTATTTATCACAAACCAGTCTGCTTTATTTAGATAAATGCAGGTGTCATCTTTGCTGACAGGTGAAATAATGTGCAGCTTTATGTTGTGTCATATTTCATGACGAATTTCCGAGCTGAAATGCTGCCTTGCTGTACCCATACATTGTCAGATGTCTGTAAACATATTTCATTGTTGGTTGTCCTTGCCCTGTGTCTTTCCCTGTCATTACCACTCTGTTTACAAGAATGCTAACAGTGTTTGCTAGCATAGGATCTCCCTCAGAATATACAGTGGTTTAAAGTCGCACTCTGACGCACAGTTTTCCAACTATAACACTTAATCCCTGTGGAACCGATTCTGAAATGTCACTTTATCCGTTTGTTGTTTCTTGCATGGTCTTGCTAGGTTAACCATTCACAGATGTGTGATTGGGTATTTTAACCTTTTTCTTGTTGGATAAATACTGCCTGTGTAATCCAATGTTTTGGCTGAATGGTACTTAAAGCTGACCATTAGGTATTTGCAATAGACTGAAGACCACTTTCAGGTATTTAGTTAGAGGTGATGTTTCATGGCGATGAGGTGTTTATCTCAGCAGTTCTGGTCGTGAAAAGTATTTAATATCGACACATAATGGGCCAGCAGAGAAAATGGCCTTCAAGCCAAGACTATCAAGAGGTCATGCTGTGTAAGTGCAGAGGGCGGGGAGTGTTGATAAGTCCAAATATATATCACTGTGTGTGTTGACACTGCTATTCACAACATCTTCATACACGTGAAGAGTGCTGGCATATCACAAATGCAAAAACACTGCAAAAATATATATCCCTTTAACTGCAGGGCTCGCTCTCCATCTCGCTCCACAGGGGCGCAGAGCCCGACCACAGACATCATACTGATTGCTCACCATGGTCGAGTGGTCTGTCCACATTCCCACCCTGATTCAGTATGTGCAGAAAAACCCAACAACGGAAAACAGTGGTTTGAGAGTGTCTGGAGGTTTGCGGACAGCAGTGAGTGTCCGCTGTGTCTCTCCTAAATCTATCCTCCTCTCATCCCCTTCGACTGCGCCGCTGCTTACCCCAGGAACATGGGAACAGTCGAGGGCAGACCCGAACTGATGTCTGTGGAATGTTGTGGACTCGAGGCGAGAGGACACTTGAGTGCGTGTATGCGTGTTGTGATGAATGTAACCTTCCCTCTCTCCTGTGTGTGACAGGTTGTGGCAGGCTGGTAGATGATGAAGTGATGGAGATGTTAGGAGGCCACGGCCATTGTGATGCTGGGTGGCTGTTAGTCTGGAACTGCCATCTGCCGAAAGGTCAGTTGCTAGGGGACGATTCTCCTGGACCGTGTCTGCCTCCCAGCTGCCATCCACACACCCACTCACACACACAGAGATGCACACACACTCAAGTATGCGCTGAAACTCACACACACATGTACACGATTCACACACTCACACTCTTTCCATTCTTTCCTATAAATCTGAATTGAGTTTCAGTACGTTTGACTCACTGTAGTGTCCACTATTCATTTTTTGAGGTGAAGTTGAGATTATTATTATTATTCCTTATGTTTCATTCGGCTATAAATGCAACTTAATACATAACAGTCCATGCCCACAAATGCTTCAGATCATTATGAGTGGTGTAAGGGTGTTTCTGTCATAACAATGTCCCAATTCATTGGCGGTGTGCCCACAATTTTAATGCTACAATAAATTGTTGAGGCAGCACGAAAGTCAAATCAGGATAGTGCGCCAGATCCAAGCCATGCCACATTGTCCATCACGACCACAGTGAGCAGCCCATCATTCAGTGCGGTCACCCAGACCCAATTCTAAATTCCACATTATACGCCCTTCATATTAAAGGCAACTCCACCCAAGGGGCAACATTTTTCCACAATTTAACAGGAATTTTAATAGGAAGCTACTGAGCCTTCATTGTCCTGTATCATGTCTGCATGTTCTCTGGTGATTGACCTGATTATTGTAAGCAGCACAATGTGGTCAAGGGAAAAGTGTTTCCTCTCTCAAGCTTAAATCATTAAAAACCTTTTTCCTCTAAGTGACACTCACTCTCAGGTCAATTGCAGGCAGTGTGGCTGTAGTTGTTAGTGTAAATTTGCTTAACCCCCTGTCTCTAATGATGCTTACTGGCTTCTTTAAAGACAACGCCAAAAAGCTTTTTTCTTTGGGAAAAAGATTTATCCTGATAGGGAAAGGACCATGTCATTTTCCACAAAAACAGTTCACTTAAAAAGTGAAATCATCTTAAATGTTGGCAATACGGTAACAGAGGGGATTTTGTGCCATGGCTATTTCTTTTTTTCATACTTCCTGTCACACTTGTCGTGATCTCCTACCCTTTTTTCCCTCCTCACACCCTCACCTCCATCATGCACTTCCCCACCAGCCTCCCAGAGACAGTGACTTTTGTGTGGTGGAGCTGTTGTTTTTGTTTGTGCCCTCCCCACCATGGCTGCCTGCTCGCCGCCTGGCAGCCCCGTGTGTCAAAGGTGGCTGCAGCAGAACAGACTGTGGGAACAGCCGGTTAGCCTCCCCTGGTCCCCTGCTCCCCTACCAGAGGGGCAGCCATCAATCCAGCACCCCCCCCTGCCCCTGCACACACAAAATGCCCAACCAAACACACACTCACACAAAAAGCCTACAACGCTCACACCCTCTCCCAATAATCCTCGGAAGCAATTTCATCTCGACTCGGGTGGCGGCCCATTGTCGCCAGCCCCTTCAATCTTTCCTTATTAACTCTCGCTTTGTCCTGCATCCGAGCTTCTGGACTCATCTCTCCTACATTCCGATCGGGGCTGCTCCCAGCACTCCCAGGCAACCTCCATTCGCTAATCCCACTGCCTCCCCCACCAGCCGCCCCACCCCAAGGAACTCTTACTGCTTTTTTTTCTCCAACCTGCCGATCACCTACTTACAGAGTAAGGTAGGGGCATTAACTCCATGGGTTTTCTGAAGGCAGAGCGTGAAGGCGGGGTGGGTGAAGGAGGAGGAGGCGGCCACAAAGTGACTCCAGCCCAGACAATTAGAACAATGAGCCGGGCCTGTAGGGGGCTAACTCGCTGCGTCACGCCTGGACGGTGGGGTATTTTGTCAGTTTAATGAATTGTCCGTCAGGCCAGGGCCACATCGCAGGCTGCGCAGGGAGAGGCCAGCAGGGACCCAGACACTAAGTCGGTATTTATTACACTGCCTTTGTCACTAATTGAGCTAATTATCACTGACTCCTCAGCACTCCCACAGGCAGCACCCCCTCCACTCACTCTCTCCTCCAAACTCTCCCACCTCACTCTCACGCCTGGGATTTGAACTCTGCCTTCCCTCTTCTTTTCCTTAATCTGTTTGCCACTTTCTATGTCTTTGGTTTCTTTCTGTGTATCTTTGATCGACTGTTAATTCTCTCTCCAGACAGACTTGTATCATATTTACGTTTCTGACCTGTTGCTTTCCCTTGACTTTTTACTTTCTTTATTATATCCTACTTAAAGCCATATCATATTTGTACCCCTGATGCAGTAATACAAGACAGATTATTAGGGTTTGGAAGCAATTCAGTGTGTAAATCTGTGAGCAATATATAATTTAAGTTTTCGTATTTCCCTTTAAGTGGGCCTTCCAACCTCATGTGACCCCAGTATTTTTGATTCAGTTTGGTCTATATTGTTGTTTTTGACCTTTTTATGTTACGCCTTCCAGCTCTATATGAACTCTTTCTTTCAGATGCTGGCCATTCACTGCTCAATTTATTAATGTATTGCTTAAATGCTTGCTTTCTTCAGACATTTACCTCCCTCATTTTATTTGGGTAACATCATGACTGTAATTCACAGAAAAGTCTCATCCAGACCCCCTATCTCTCTTCATGCAACTACTTATTTTGCTCTGTTATTTGTGAATGTTGAGTGTGTGTTGGTGGCCTTACTCATGCTCTATCAGCATGACCCTGGGTGCTTCTGTGCTGTGGTGAAAGTGCAAAGTTCTCCAAACTCCTGTGGTTAGTCAGGTTGCCAGGCGCTGAGGGAGACTAAGATTTTCCATGATTGTTCACACTATTTCTATAGTTCCTTTTCACATTAGGCAAATTAAGCACAATATTCAATTCAGTAAAGTCCTATACTGTATCAAATAAGGTATGTGGCTGGACAAGCAGGGGCCGTCTCTTGTGGTTGGGAGCACAGATGCAGGGATGTTTTGTGAGCTGGAGAAAAAAGGCTGCTTTGGTGATGGTAATAGGATTAGGCGAAGGACACCCAGGGACAGGCTTATATGTTCACTTGGTTGGTTGTCAAAACTATCTCAAACACAGACTACAACAGACATAATGGCATCTTTTGACACATTCAGGAGGGCAACTTAATTGAAAATATAGACTTTATTGTTCTATCATACAATACAAAACCAACTGGAGCCTAAATCCTTTGATTAACATCTAAACAAAACATTTCTTCTTTTACATATCTCTATAACAGTATAAAAATGCTCAGAAATAAATATTTAGTATTTACACTAATAAAAAAGTAAATATTCAGTGCATGAACACAAGTGTTTTTACAGGAACAGAAAAAGGACAGAAAGACGTGATAATGTTTGGTTTCTAGTAAGAGTCGGATTTGTGTCAGCTGCATTACACCTAAATAAAAAAAGATCGAAACATCTCTTGACACTTTTGATGGCAAATTCTCCAGCCTTTGACAGGTGCATAAATCATTCAGCAAACTTACAAATGACATCATTATAAATATATTCATATATTTTAATATTTACAGCATTTCGGTTCTAAAAGCTGATATACAGAATCATCTCTCCTGCAAAGGTTGTTTCCTTCAAAGTAAAATGTCATCTGCTGTTAACAGCTTATCCTAGAGTATTACACATACACCTCATTTTAAACCTGCACCAGTTTTATACCACGCATCTATTAACAGGAATGTGTGTCTTTTTGTTCATTTAATATACTCGGAATGGCATTTGTTTTCATTTTGAGAGAATGGTGAGATTCTGCAGGTCACATTTAGTTTATTTTTATAATATTGAACCCTCTGATTTACTAAACTACATCTAGTCATGCTGTGATATTCAGTGTATTGATAATACATTCAAATGACATTGCCTTAGTAACAATTGTTCACTCAGTTTCGTTTTCCTTGATTGAGCACTGGGCCCCAGTCATCAGGACCATCCTGTGGTAAGTCAAGAGTGGCACATCAGGATTGAAGTGTATTCAACTATAGAGAAACTAAATAAAAAGGGCAAATGTGGTGAGGACATTATAAGTGGTTGGGCTGCATCAAGGTCCTAAGTACACAAGTTGGGAGCAGACGACCCATCCCTAGAGATTAACTTCACACAGTTTCATGTAAGAGAAGCTAAACTTCCGCATAAGAAAACAAAAAAGGGATCATTTGTTTTCAAATTACTCTCCTCTTGTTAGAGGTCTTCACCAGTTTATGAGAGAGGCTCTCTGGCCACAGAAACATCTGTGAAACATTGTGTCCAGTCTGGGAGAGAAGGAGGCTCTACCTGGTTACAGCAATCGATTCGCCACCAAAACATTTTTCTCCCTTTTTACTGCTAAATCTATTTTTCCACAGTGTAAACACTTGAGGGATATGAATTATTTCCATTCTGCACAGATGTTTGTGGTGTTCAAAAACCCTCTTGATATTTTTAGGCATCAAAGGCGAGGAGCAAGCACATGTACTCCCTCTTTACCCTGTTCATATATTTGTGCTTTTCATTCTATTCAAAAACATTGATTGATATTTTGATCCCTGTATCAGTATACCCGCCTTGAAGTTTTCCTACCTAACATTTCAAATCCCTTCCGTGCCAGTGGTTTTCTCAGCCTACTGCCTGTCATGCTAAGAAGTTCTTCTTTGCCTTTCATATGTCGATGTCCTCCTGTGATCATAGACACTGGTGTAACGTTTGTGTACTTGTGCAATTCAAGCAGCTGACATGACAGCACCAGTGGAAAGTGCAGTGGCAACGTTCAGTCACACTTTCGGTCCGGGTCTTTAACCACGTCCACAGCAGAGCAGCTCACATCCATCTAGGCCTGGAGAAGAGCTGTTGCATGTTCTCCCAGAAGTTCCCAAAGTGCCAGTTTTGCCATTGTAGGAGCAGAAGTTTGGTGATTTCTCAAAATAGACCAGGTCCATGGCAGAGGGTGGTTTGTGAGCAGAGTTTTCAGGCTCCAGATGGCGGGGGTCGGCTCTGTGAGAAGCACGGTTGCTTCCCTTGTTGGCATAAACAACTCTGGATGCACCATCAAACCGGTCCTTGAGGAAGTCTCCTACTGTGCGAAAGCTGGGCAGGCGCATCCAACAAGTGCGCACGGTGCAGGACCCTGACATGCCATGACACTTACACTCCTGACGCATCTCAGATGACACAGTCTGCAAACAGGAAGAACATAAGCTTTTAACAAAGTGGAGATTTCAAATGCTTTTTAAACTTTTGGGATTTCTGATGAAGATAGACAATTTTGGAAAGTTTGAGTTTCAAGTTCTTACCATTCTGCCTGCCTCATTATTGTGTAGGTTGGTGAGGTAGCGAAGATCTCTGCCCCTCTCGCTGGAGTCCACAAACTCACGGCTGAACATCCGGCCAAAGTCTACATTGTCACTGCAGCCCCCCCAGTGCCAGTCTGGCCCTCCAGGACCTCTGCGACGGTAATCACATGTGCAAGACTCAATGGCCCCTTCTGAGCAGGAGCGAGCCACAGCGTGGGTCACCCCTGCGCTGGTAATGGCAAAAATAAATGCTGTCTCTCGGCAACCTAAAGAAACAACATCAAAACTTCCCATCAGAACCAATTCCAGCCTTTTAGACTCAACTGTGCTAATTTCTTTGCCTAAAATTGGAAAATATTTAGAGACACAGTGCACAACAGATTCCATTACATCCTGGCCAAAATTGTCCAAATAATGCTAGTGAGAAAGACAAGAGAGGCTCACCACGATTGACTATTTTCCCAAAGACTGCTGGGCTGTGGGTGGTCGGGCAGTTCCAGCGGCGGTTGCGGAACTGCCACTTGCACTCCTTTATGGCAGTGTGCAGCCCAGCGGCGATGGCATGCAGGATGCCAGGATTCTGCCGAATCAGCCGGCGCTGGCGTCGACTCAGTAGGGCAAGGCTCGGGTCCAGGACCAACTGCACGTTCTTGGAATTGGTTAGGAGGTTGGATGAGGAGGCCACATTGACAATACCCCTGGCACAGCACAAAAATAAAGGTAATTAGTGTTAAGGAGCTAGCGGTTTATAGATGTAGCTCCTTCTGTGAACCTCCAAACTGGTAAAATGGTGCATCAGCATGTTGAATCTGTATTGTCCAGATGGATACCATTCATTTACTTTATTTAGTTATTTTCAAATATTAAGTAATACCCAAAAGCTGAGAAAAAATTGCCTGCATGCACTTTTAGATTAAAGTGTCAAAAACACATTTTCCAATATGACCATCCTGTCAACAAGTACTAGACTAAACATAAGGCCTTAAGCTTTGTAGGCTATGCTGTACATTTAAAATCCTCTCTGCCAAATATGTAAAAACTCATATTCATTAGACAACTTAATGTCACAAGTCGTCCATCAATTATTATTCTGCTTTTATATTAATAACTAAGTATTTGTTGCAATCAGAAAGTATTATGTGTATTTGGCTTCAAAACAATATCAGTTAGTGGCACCTGCTCTTCTCCATTATGGGCTACATTCAGATCACTGAACATGGCTTAAATGCACTCCTTTTACTGGCCATGTTTCAGAACAATTCTAGTTTAGTATTTCAGTACACAGGCTGCATCATTTTCCACTTTAGTTCCTGGCGACCTCTTTTAGATGTATGTGTTTTTGATTCACATGTAGTGTATGCGTCTCCTGTTAAGCATTATCATCCGGAAAATCGGGGGAGTCTTGGCCTGTTAGAGGGCCAACCCAGACAGTTGTGTGGTGAGGCCTGGGAGCATTAATAATAATGTCGACTTTTTTAATGTTTTTTTTCCTTCCAACAACTCCACGGTGTCTTTTTCCTCCCATTTTTTTATATCAGTTGACATTTTAAATATTTGGAAACGCCCGCCGTTGTGCGCAAATAATGTCCATCTAATGAGACCGCAAAAAATACAAACTATTTCGTTAAATCATATCCTCCACAAACCCAACCCACAGTTTATACACTTTTTAACAAAAGCAAGGCAATGTGCCCACTGACGCAAAACTAAACAGATCCCATTATAGTGTTGTTCTGTAACAAAATATTGTGATTGGCCGTTTTAGTATTTGTTTTCAGTCGAATTTACAGTATCAGAACAACGTGACCCTTGAAAAAGACCTCATGGGATTCCTATGAGCTATGAAACAAATCCATATATAATTTCTCCCACATTGGACTGAAACATCTTGTCTCTTGTTCAAACCACATTGTCCAAATGACAGGGCAGTAGCGAGAAAGAGAGAGCAAATTAAATCTACCGCAAATAAAAGGTAATCCTGTAATTATTACAAATGTAATTCGTTTACTGTTTAATAAATAATCTAATTACACTGAAAGAGCAATACATTAAAAAAAGCCTACAGACTTTAATATCATGCGGTTACTTTCTCAGAAGTTGTAAAGGATGCCAAAACTAACACATTATTTAGAGCATGCGGCACGGGATGTGGCAACGCCAATAAAACACCGTTATACTGTAGCGCATGGTCTTCCTTGCCCAAACCAGCATTAAACAGAACTTTTCCGATTGTAGGATGCTGATCACTGAATGAATGTCGATGTCTGCTGAACTCACCACCACCGGCCGCTGTTGTTGACGGCCCCTGTGCCTGAGAGCGAGGACACCAGCAGGATGCAGGCAGCTTTCACCCCTATCAGCAGCGCCAGACTCCTCATCGTGTCTTCAGGTCAAATGAGGAGTGAAATGTCAAATGGGTTTTGTTCAGACAAAGTTATAGTCAAGTCCCAGATACCTTGTATCATCTGAACTCTCTAGCACATCTTGGAGTTAAACAATCTAATAACCCATAATAAACCTTTTGTCTCAAACAGGGACACATGGACAGACGCCTGGCAATAGGCTACATTGTTTCCTTGCATCGCGAAAAACCCATTAAGTGTGATAATAGATTAAAATGTTAATGATCTATTCAATAGTTAAAGTAATGCAAGGTGGATACTCACCACGCCACGGTCCGGTGAGGGGACTTGAAAGGTGAGAGAAGACAGCCCTAATTGACTTAAATGGATGTTGAGTGGAGACAGGTTGCTAAATGATGTGAAGTGTCCAGGCAGGATGCTAGTGCTGCTGCAGTCCTCTTCACTCTGTCTCTCTCAGTGATGCTCTGCACGGCGCATTGAACGCGTGGGACAGTCCCGAAGACTTGATCCCCTCGGTGACTGATAGGCAACACATTCTTCTCTTATTGAGCGCTACGAAGGGAATAAAAAAGGGATTTGCTGCTCTCATCTCCCTCTGTTTTTTTCGGAGCCTTTTCAATAGGATTGGAGGGAGGGATAGTTAATGCTCTTCATAGGGCGCACAATGAATAAGGAAACACAACTGGGCAGAAAGGAAGAGAAGAAATAGGGCAATCCACAAGAGTTTCGCATATTACTTGTGGAATCTCACGGTCACCACATAATCGATTCCCTGTAAATGTGTGCGGCTGCAAGTATTTTCCCACTGGCCGTGCGCTTGGTTCCACATCCAGTCTGGCAGAAAGGAGAAGTGCCCTGCAGCAGTGATGTGTTGGTACAGATGCTGTGGGTGCGCCCGGTTTGGTGCTCCGCCGCTGCTCCAAGCTGGTGTCACGGTGCAATACAGTAACAGCGGAATATGAGCCATCTAAAACTGCCCTTTTTACCCGGTGGTTGGATTAGCCTACTCCCTAACCACATCTCCTCCTCCTTTCTCCAAACGCGCTCTAAAAATGTGCAGTGACTAAGGAGATTTCTGTTCATTTCGTTTCCTTTTCACACAAATCCCTTTATAAATACACACGAGGTAATTGTACCAATGAACAATATTTTATTAAAACCTTTTCATGAGGTGCTCTTCATTTATTAAGATTCTTATTAAGATTAGGCCCATTAGACACAACTATTATCGCCAGTGTTTATAAACCCATGACCATGCACACGCACAACGAAACTTGCATAGTTGTTATAATACGCTCTAAATTGTCATATTACTCACACTGCCTGCTGGGCTACTTAAATGTTTTTTCAAACGCAGTAGGGATGATATACGGTCTCCAATCAGAAGTGTAATGTATGATGAACCAGGAAAGAGGGGGACGAGTAAGAATAAAAACCATTCCAAACATCTGGCCTGCAGACCTCCCTCGATGCACATGTAGCAGTGTAATCACAGTTTGAGCCACTTTGCGGCATCTCCATCTAACCCCAGACTAGGAGCAGGCTTCAATGTCCCCAAACTTCTCCATGTTGGTTCATGGCGGAATGTTTCATTATGTGACATTTATCTGCTAATTTGCATGTTCCAACGTTAGTCACTGCAGCGGTGGAGTTTGGATAATCTCTCCCCATCCCTCTTGCTTCATCTCTCTCTCTCCCTCTTTCCCCTCAAATGACAGTAAAAGGAAGTGGGCTTTTGTAAAAGAAAAAAAAAGGATTTAATGACAGCCATCCTACGTTTAAACTCCAGCCTTATATGAAGGTGCTCAAACGAGTTTCCTGGAGCAGTCAAGCGACACCGAGCAGATTAGAGCTTCAATCCGGATAAAGGGGGCCTTTTATATACAAATCAACTTCAAATCACTTTTTAAGCCACTTAGATATACACGCCAAGGCAGAATGCTAATGCACTTTTCATTGCTGCAGCTTAGGGAATGGAAGGAGATTAGATGAATTGGTGTCACTATGCGAACGGTGTTCGAGGGGGGTTTTAACTTAATTTTATGAGAGTAACCCACATGCACCTTCCCGATTCCAACAGCAGTGTCTCTTATTGTTTAATGTCTGGTCGAGAATCCTTTTTTATTTGTTAGAAAATTATTTCAGCGATGGACATGTTGATTTAGTGTTGCCTTATTTATATCAATATGCTGATTGATTCGATGCCGAGCTGCCACAGTATCCTAAATGCTGGTGAGTGCCTGAGTCCATGTCATTATTGAGCATGAACATTGATTTGATTAGATATGATATTTTGTATATAAATGAAATGTTTAAAGACCATTGAGGCCATACTTACACACTGCCTGCTAAAACCAAGAGGTGTTATTTGCCTTTAGATTTTTGTTGGAGCATGTCACGCCGTAATGTGATAAATCATGACCCAAAAAAAGAGCTGTCACTCCCGTAATTTATGTATATAATGTTATTCTCTGAAATAAAGACTTTAGAGTGACAAAGTGAAGTTGTTTCAAACACAACAATGAGGAACAGCCGCACTGATGGAGGTGGGAGGAAGGGGGACCACATGACTAAAAACAGTATTGTTGGAGGGTCTGTTAGCGGAGCCGCCTGCCTGCTGCTGCCTCCCTGCCGTACAGTGGAACCAACAGAGCTCCCCCTCCCCCATTCATCATTTAACTCAACCCTTTATGAACAAAATCTCTTTTGACTTTTCATATTTCATTATATTTCTGAGTGTTTTTTGTTATTTGTCATCGAAAATTAAGGAATGTGTTTCACAATTGACCTTCCCCTCAATACAAACCAAGTATTAATAAAATAATATGTATATAAGCTATTCAATATGTTTGTGTGATCCAGTACTTTTGATCATCTACCAAAACTGTTGACAATTGCGCGGGTTGGAACTAGTGCGTAAAAAGTTTGGAGACGTCCTTTTACGCTCGCACAAAAGTTCACACTCTCAAATGATAAAATAATCAACTGTTGATCCAACTCTCATGTTGGCCAATATTTAGCAAACAGCCGCCTGTGGAGGCATCTCCTGCCCTCCCCTCTTTCTCCCCCTCCCGTTTACTCTCGCCCCCGAGCTCCTCTGTTCTCCGTGTTCACTCCTCGCTCGTTTGGCGGTGCATCGATAATACTCCACTCTTCTTCTTTTTTTATTTTCTCATTCAATACAGGACTTTATTACGAGTGTTTTAATGTCACGTCGCGAAAGACGCTTAACAAAATGGAGCTATCAAACAAACTCCGTTGGGACCAATTCCTGATTTTGGCAGCAGCACTTATGTCACCTGCATTAACGTGAGTGCACTTGAGAGCGCGAGGAGAGTTGGTGGAAGTTACTGTGTATGACCTTACAATTTAAAAGAATACTTAACATATTTAGTTTAAAAGTGAAAGCTCTGCCTGATTTCACAGGCAGATTGTGTGTAATGTTGAAACAAGAATCAATTTTTACTAATATTTTAGTCTACAAGTTTTAGCAAGGCCATAAAGAAATCAGTTTACACTATTGTTATTTCTCCATAAGATGTGTTTGGCAAGTATATTTCTGCTTTTGGGACTTCACAGCTATGCTCTGTTTAGAATTATATTTCCCCGCTTTAAACAACATCTGATGAAACTCTGTTGTAAATTCTTGTGCAATTGATTATCACATTTTATTAACTGTAGCCTCAGCAAATCACTTAGAAATGAGATACATTATTGTGAAGTATATCCATCCTAAATCTTACTTGTTTTGTATTTTTAGATTTTCTTAAGTATCCAAAAGCATCTTTCGACATGCTTCTCCGGAATTGACTAATGAACTCCTGACCAGCTCTGATGGCCCCCCCACTAACTCTCTTTTTCTCTCCCTTTCTCTTTCTCTCCCTTTCTGCAGGGTGCTGTGTAATGATATTCTCAGCCTGAAGGTGGCAGGAGATCCAGTGCTAACCCCTAACTCAGTGTGCCTGAGGCTGGCAGGCCTCAGCAAGCGTCAGATGAGGATGTGTGTGCGGAGCCCCGATGTGACGGCCTCCGCTCTGCAGGGCATCCAGGTGGCCATTCACGAATGCCAGCACCAGCTCCGGGATCAGCGCTGGAATTGCTCCTCACTGGAGGGACTTGGCAAGCTTCCCCACCACAACACCATCCTCAACAGGGGTGAGAGGCATGCTTGATGGTCATAATGTGACCTGGGTTAACAGGGGGTGGAGATGTAAATATGGGAGTAGAGGTTGTTCTGCACACAGATGCTGGTCTGTTTATTTTTGTCACCCTCTGAGTGTTTATCTCTTGTTCCCAGGTTTTCGCGAGAGTGCCTTCTCCCTGGCCCTGTTGGCAGCGGGCGTGGCTCACTCTGTGGCCTCGGCCTGCAGCATGGGCAAGCTGCGGGGGTGTGGCTGTGAGGCCAAGCGTCGCCAGGACGATGACAAGATCCGCCTGAAACTCACACAGCTGCAGCTGCAGACCCTGCAGAAGGGTGGAGTAGGCCTCGCCATGTCACGATCGTTACCCTCAGAGCTCAACGGTCACCATGGCGACCTGCCCGCCAACCTGCGCTCCACCCATCCCTCGGCCCTGCTCAAGCCCATACCAGATGAGCTGAGCTCCATGCAGGAGACGTGGGAGTGGGGGGGTTGCAGCCATGACGTCCGTTTTGGGGACCGTTTTTCCAGGGACTGGCTGGACTCCCGCGGCTCTCCAAGAGACATCCATGCTCGCATGAGGATACACAACAACCGTGTGGGACGACAGGTGAGGAATTATCCACAATGTCTTAGTGTTGCTCAGAGAGCAGTCTCACTTCCACACTCTCACTGGCCTATATAATCATAGGTGACATTGTTGCATTTCTGATTTGTAACACAATTGACTTTTCTTCACACAGATAGTGACTGACAACATGAAGAGGAAGTGCAAATGTCACGGGACATCAGGGAGCTGCCAGTTTAAGACCTGCTGGCATGTGTCTCCAGAGTTCCGGCTTGTGGGTTCTCTACTCAGGGAAAAGTTCTTGTCAGCCATCTTTGTCAACTCCCAGAACAAGAACAATGGGGTTTTCAACCCTCGAACAGGAAACAGCGCTGGCGGAAGCACAGGCGGACCCAACAGAGGTCGCCGACGGACCATGTCCAGAGAGCTGGTGTACTTTGAGAAGTCTCCTGACTTCTGTGAGCGCGATGCCTCTGTAGACTCTCCAGGTACACAAGGACGCATTTGCAACAAAACCAGCTACAGCACAGACAGCTGCGGCTCGCTGTGCTGCGGCCGTGGACACAACATCCTGAGACAGACACGCAGTGAGCGCTGCAACTGCAGGTTCCACTGGTGTTGCTACGTGCTGTGTGAGGAGTGTCGTCTCACAGAGTGGGTCAGTGTGTGCAAGTAGATCTCCAAGTCCCAGATGCCTTTACCTATCCCAGACTCAAGATGGTGAGCCTGTCCCCTCACCCACTCCTTTTGTTCGAGCCTTTGTTTTCCTCCTTGTGTAACTCTCCCAGAAGTCTGTTTATCCCCCCTTTCCTTTTTTTGAGTCCATCATCTGGGATCTATTTTCTCTTTGTAGCCGCTGTTATTCTCAAAATGCCAAGTCAGAGATTGAAGAGGTGACTCATGACATTTGTCCTGCTATGGTTGTTTAGACGATGCCCTCTCAGCCATGAAAACAGCAAATACCCAATCTTTTCTATCCCACAAAACAAAGCAACAGTGAACAGCAAAGAAGCATTTCTATTTTAATGTCTACATGATGACTCATCACATTGTACAATAGGTGTGTATTTCAATGTGTACATGTATATTTGTAAATGTATTAATATTAATATTAAGATTGTGTTGTGCCTTTCTTTTTGGTTATAGTTACTGACAGACTTATGCGTAAGAGTGGCTTAGTGCTGTAAAACAGAGCAATACATTGAACTGGTCTCTTCTGGATGATCATCAAGATACATCCATCTGTTTTCAACCGGTATCCGGAGTCGGGTTCGCGGAGTAAGCAGATTTCCAAGATATTAACTCCATTTGAATGTCTTGCACCTGTGACTAGAAAAGGGCCACAATACTTATTTTGAATAAGTCAGAACATTTAGACAAGGCTTTAACTAATGGAAGAAGGAAATTGTTTTTTGTGGTTTTTAACTGACTGATACATCTAATAGATCTCAGGACAGAGAGAACACTTGTATACTGGTCAAACTAAAAGTGGCAAAGTCCTTAAATTCCTAAGGCTGAACCATTAACACAATGTTGGTTATGCAAACCGTTCGAACGTTAGAAGATGGTCGCAAGTAGTCATATTTTTTTATGAATATAGCTGTGATATGATGTGTCATTTTTCTTATGAAGTGATGACAGAGCGCTTCTTATTCTGTGCTTTCTTTTGTCAATTTCATCACTCCGAGTACTCCTTAAATTCTTCCCACATGTAGTACATGTCAAAGTGAGAGATGGCTTTAGTCTTGAACTGATGCTGAAGGAAGTGTGTATTGAGTGTGTGTGTCTGTTGCTGTGTAAATGGAGGGGCAAGTTCTACGCACTACAGATTTGGGAGGTGAGAGCTTTTTTTATGGCCACTTCATGCTGAGAGAAGGACTTTTTATGGCTGCAGGATATTGTTTCCTTAAAGTATGACTTTTATTACTGGAGAGAAGCATCAAGCCAGCAGAGAGTGGGGCTGATTATACCAGTCTCTGCTGTGCGAGCATCTGAGGGGATCATCTGTCCCAGAGTTCATGGCCAACCAAGGGACTCGCTAAACCACGTGGGATGCTGTGTCATGGTTACCTGGGAGACAGACTACACAAATGTAAACACAGGCACATAAACACGTGCATTTGTTTATGCACAAAGACACTTACATGTAGGAATACTGGCACTGATGCACAATCAAAAACATGCACATTTATGAACTGTCAGATAGAACTCCTGGTGACCCGAGATGCTGCAGATTTAGCTAAATTCCCATGTCAGCACCTGACTTAATTAACGATGGCAGCATTCCTAGATATCTTGGATGATCCAAACTCAATATTTTATCTGACACAATAAGATTTAATGTCATTCAAGTGTTGTTTGTATGGATTCCTGTAAACCTCCCTCAGCTCCTGAGGAATGGTGGAGCCAGTGGCTGAATCAACTGTTTTGTCTGTTTGGTATTTAGTGAGGGAATAAAAAAGAGACAGCAACTCGTATGGAATGATAAGGCAAAAGATTTCTGTTTTGCATTTCTTCATTCCTTTATCATTTCACCCTGGAGCTGCTGCGAAAGGGAATTTCCTGTCACTGTTTCTCGCATGTGTGAGACAGAGGTTGGTGGACAGCCTGGGATTGGTTTCTCGCTCCCTCTGTGCGTTCTTTTTCCTCTCGTTCCCATTCTCCCCCTCATCGCTGCAGACATAGACGCATGCATAGCAACACATTGACTGCCCCCCCCCCGAGTAATGACAACCAGACTGGGTTGAAATTAAAGAGAGGAAGGCCGAGAGAGGAAGTTAGGAGAGATAAAAGTGACCCACTTTGATTGACAGGATGATTATATGTATAAAGTAAGGCGATTTAGTGTGTTTAGTTGGATATAAAGATGGGGAGATAGATCCTCGCTGTACGTGCGGCGGAGATGCAGAAGCAAAGGACAAATGGGGTATGGTGAAGGGGGTGAATAAAGTGTACTCTGTATAAATACATGCCTCAAAACATCTGCTTCTCAACTCCCCTTTCATTTTTTGATGTGGGACAGGCAGAGAAGGAGAGCGGGAGAGAAAACACAAGGAGCCAGCTACCCAGAACATCAAAGCCCCTGCCCTCAACGAGCAGGCCCTCATTAGTTCAGCTAGCAGAACCAACGAGACTTGTGATTGTGTTTGCTGGGGTGCACGCTGGCAGACACTTCAGAGGAAAGGCTCCTTTAAGTCATAGCTCTCTGCCACACTGTAACCCCCCTGTAACCCTCTCAAAACTCCCCGCGCACAAACTCGGCAGGCTCCCCCACCATCCACTCCACCCCATAATCTGGTCTGCAGCTGCAAACATCTGCTCCCCTCTTTATTCCTCTGCCTTCACCACTGAGTTGATAAACACATCTATCACTGGACCGCTGACTGACACACAACAGAGAGGAAGAGGGGGATAAATGTTGGAGTCACCTATGGTTTTAGGGCTGGCATCCGGCGTGTCATTTAATCACACTATAGGTTTTTTTTTCTCAAGGTAATGAGTTAAACCCACACCTACTGGAGGGAGGTTTCTTCCTGACTTTGACACGCACTGCCACCTGTAAAACCACATCAATGCAATTATGAATGTAACTAAGCACATTTAGGGTAAGAATATTATCCTATATCTTAAGCTGAATAAAGTATTAAAAAACTTTATTGGATCAAATTGAAAAAGCATTGTTACAAAGCTGACATCTGTAATTATCTTATTTATTTATTTTGAAATTCGCACAACCTTAAATATTAAAATGGGAATGTATCCAAAAGCATCGTATATAATAGTCAAACACAGACAGGGAGTATTTTACTGCATAAAATGTACTTTGACTTTTAATACTTTAAGTATGGTAATGTTTAAATACTTTTGTAAAGTTTTGAATGCTGCACTTTTTAGTTGTAGTGGAGTAGATTCACAGCTGTTATTTGTACATTTATTTAACCACTTCATACATGTTCAGTATCACCTTCTGATATATGATACTATGACACAATTAGTACTCAATGTAAGTAATCTGCGATATTTATTCAGTGTTTTGTTGCTTCCTGTCACCTCATTGACAGAAACAGGCCAGGAAGTATCACTTGACAGCCATTTACTTATTCATTAAGATTATTCCTGTTTTAATTATTTAAGCATGTTTGACTGCAGACTCCGTGTAACATTTCATATTGGTTTAGTTGTTGACCTGCTGTAACACCACACAAATAAAATGTAATATGCAATGTGTATATCATAAAGAATATTGTGTTCAAATTAAAGCTGGACACTATTAAACCTGAAGCTGGTAAAATCTCAAAGCAGGTCGATGCTGATGTTACACAAAAATATTCATGTTTTATAAAGAGACATTTAAATTACTGTTGCCCTCCAGCAATTCCTCCTGGCTTTTCACAAGTCATGGCAAACGTGAGAGGTGATCTTGACATTCAACTATCGCGAGAATACAACACTTCACATCCTCTTATCATCGCGAGACTTTCTTCGAGTCCTCTCCTCTGCATGAATCCAGCTGGTAGCCTGCCTGCCGTGGACGGGTAAGTGTGAATGAGATGCAAATTGTGAAAATGCTCCAAGATGTATACTAAGTAATAAAGATGACCGCAGCGTTGTTTTGCTGTTTAAACGCCTTGTAACGCTTTACGGTAAAATAACCACCGCTAATCGACGACATTATAGGCCGACTGATGTGCTGCCTTGTCGTGACAGTAGCCTACTGTGGGTCAAACAAATTGACCCAGAGACATTTATTTTTTCAGAACTGAACACGTAATATTGTCGCTATCTAATCTTAGCTCGAATATTTATCGTTGTACGCTTTATGTAGGAATTGTGTCTCATTCAAATGCATCGCCTGCTTGGACTGCAGCATCAGCCTCTTGCGTTATGATGACAGATGTACAGGCTGTGCGGGCACTGCAGCTGTAACAGGCTGTGCTAGCAGCTACAGTAAAGCCTATACGATTGATATAAATGAATGGATACTAAACTAGATTATTATCATACAAATAACGTCTTTATACAGGGAAATAGTGATCCTCTTGCAGCATCACATTTGGCTTTGTGTGCATTTCTGTACTCTTGGTATATCACTTAAGCACATACAAATTGCCAGGTGGACAATATTAGCCCAAGTTGACAGGTGGCCAGTTAAAGGAGCCATACCAAGACAGCATGGACTAATTCAAGCTTCTGTGTTGTGTGTTTCTTTATTGACATACATCCTCAATGTTGTAAAAAAAACACAATATATATATATATATATAACTTTCAAGGGAATGTGAAGGAGAATTCCCTAAAATAAACTGGTATTCTCAATGCAGCATAATATAAATGGTTACATCAATGTAATATACATAATTTGTATTCATTAGTAATAAAACAAAGTAAACATTGTAACAGAGTGCATAATACCAAGTTGACAACATTGCATCCCATAATCTCCCATCTGTTACCTAATCAGGAGTTAGTCAGACACATAAGACGCTCACAATGACATACACACTCAAACACTCACAAAGCTGTAGGCTGTTTGCATTACATGTTCTCTCAACCTGAGGTTATGTTTTATTTAATGTAATATGAATTGATTGTTACACTGGCATTCATTCAATTGACAGCTTTAAAGGTGGTTACTCTGCACCACATGAAAGCTGATCCACATAACAGAGATCCAACATGGCGGTTGCTTTTCCTTGCTAGCTGTAAAAAATGTAACACAACAGCTTTTAAGTTTGATCAGCTGCCTGACGAGGTGTGAAGTTTGCTTTTACTTTTATGAGGTGTTAATGTTGAGAGTTGCTTTGAAGAGCTACCGTGACTAACCGCATCTTTTACTTTCTATATGTGGTCCAAAGGTTTGTTTTATCGCTATATATGGAAAGAGGTCTCTTCCGTTACCTGTGTTTACAGTTCTGTTGCAGTTGAGGTGAGAGCCATCAGTCATCATGGGGAATCTCTTTGGCAACCTGTTGAAGAGCCTGATAGGCAAGAAGGAGATGCGGATTCTCATGGTGGGGCTGGACGCTGCTGGAAAAACCACCATCCTTTACAAGCTGAAGCTGGGGGAGATTGTTACCACCATCCCCACAATCGGTGCGTGGGAAAAGATTATTACGGATCCACCTGTCACTGCGCTTATGTAACTCATTTGATTATTGCTTTTCACTCAGGTTTCAATGTAGAGACGGTGGAGTACAAGAACATCAGCTTCACCGTGTGGGATGTGGGTGGCCAGGACAAGATCCGTCCCCTGTGGAGACACTACTTCCAGAACACCCAGGGTGAGCCAGACCAGCAGCCTCTCCGGTGATGCACGAGTCGGCCATGTTGGAGCTAAAGGGGTCCTGTGGCAAATCCTGAAACCCCCCCCCCCCAGCAACTCTGGGCATATCTGACTAATGTTTTAAATCAATACAGCCTCCAACTGTTTCAAATTATTATCAGCTTAGTTGTGTTGAAAGCTTTGGCAATAAAAAAAATTGGTTAAGCAATATGACGTCAGCATATTGTTAAACCATGGGAGGAAAGTGATAATGGCACGGTATAACTTTTTAATTTATTTAACCCTTAAAAATACACTTATTTGTCCCTGCAGGTTTGATCTTTGTGGTGGACAGCAATGACCGTGAGCGTGTAAACGAAGCTCGGGAGGAACTGATGAGGATGCTGGCTGAGGACGAGCTGCGGGATGCTGTTCTTCTTGTCTTTGCCAACAAACAGGTATAGCCGCCATCGATTCCCCTCATCTGCATTCAATTCTTTCTGCACATTTATACCGACTCAAACCTCCTGATTGACCCACCTGATGGGATTCCCTTATAGGACCTGCCTAATGCAATGAATGCTGCAGAGATCACAGATAAGCTGGGTCTACACTCCCTACGCCATCGCAACTGGTACATCCAGGCCACCTGCGCCACCAGTGGAGACGGTCTGTACGAGGGCCTGGACTGGCTGGCCAATCAGCTGAAAAACAAAAAGTGAGGTATCAGGTCAGTGGAGTGGGGAAGAGCCTGGGTGCCATTCCCAGGTTAGGGATTAAGTGGATCCATTGAGTTTACATGGAGAGGCTGTGCTGAAAAGCCCACAGGGGGGAGACTCTCAATGACTTTCTACCCCCAAAATACTCGTTTCACTTCTTTTATTATACTTAATTTAAATTGTTTGGATCTGGAGTGAGCATTTACTTAAGGATAACAAACCGATGGTGTTGACCTAAATGACTTACATGCTGAATACGTACATTTGTTATTGTAAAAGCATATACATTCCCCTACTCTGCAGACTCTTTGACCTCCATCACGTTTGAACTTTTTCTGAATAATGACGATATAGACTCATAAAGCACCCATCTGATACACTAAACCTATGTAAATTATAAAGAATGTCATAACAGTATAAGTGGAACTACTACTATTACTACTATCTCAGAATAATATAACGTTGTTTAAAACATCTTACTCAGACAGGCTCTAATAAATGTAAAATTGTCTTTTTGTCCATACTTCTGTTTTGCCACAAACCTATGCGCTTCAGAGCTCATTTTGTGCTGTAAAATAATTATATGCAAATATATTTATTCTTTTTATTTATTTTATTCGAAACAACACTTGATGATGACAAACTGGAAATTCTTAAACTATTTATACTTTTGTTGACATGTGTTTATTTATTTATTCCTACATTTGTTTTGATTTTCTTAGTGCATGGTGTGGTTTCTCTCCCTTTATTGCAATATGCATTTACTGCTAAGGCAGCTAGTGAAAAAAGAAGCCCTGGTATCACTGTATGTTACTTCCCAGTCTGCATGGAGATGGAGAAGACCCCAGTACTGGTTTGTGGGCTTGTGAAAGCTGTGAACTACTGCAGGCCGCTGCTGTAAATACAGATTTACTTTGAGTTGACGTGCCTGGCTAAATAAGGGTTAAACAATTTGTCTGGCGTCAGCGAGGTGTGATAGCTGAACTGATACAGATGACAGAACAGGCACATCGTACCAGCTCTGTGTCTTAGGGAGAAAAAACACTGCTATTGGCCTGTTGAGAGTGATGCAGCAGAGCATGTGATTAGCAATATCAGACAGCTTACATTGTTTACGAATGTTTATTTGTTAAATCAGTTTGTGCGAGCAGCTGCAATATATCCGTCAACATAACTCATGTTGCTTGTCATCCTGATTTATTCATAGCTGATTGGCGTGAAATGTTGTGTTTCTAGTGTTTCTGTGTATTATGTTGCATAAAATATCTCTAGATGCATTATTGTTGTACAAAATGTAATGTCTGTTTGAATGGAGTATTCATTTATTTTGAACCAAAAGGCAAGTGTTGATTTTGCAGTTTTCACAAACCCCATGATTTGAAAACATATGAGAGAGGATAATCGTAATACTGCATCATAAGGCATATTAATACTGTACAAGATCTGTAATAAAAGTGAATTATAATAGCCTATTTCCTCAGACTATATTTGTCTTAATTAATGCTGCTGGTTGGAACAATGCTGTTCTGATAAATGTTATGGATTTAGTGTAAAGTTTATCAAACAAACTTCTAATATGCAAAAGCATGGTTTTCTATGTCAGCGAGACTGTATATAGGTTTATGTAACAAGAAGAGTAAACCATGGCATTTGCGGTCAAATTGAAAGTGTTGTTGATACACATAGACTCGGGGTCAGTGTGTTGGCAGATATGTATAACTGACAGCAGCTTGCGTGTGTGATGTGCATTACGTTCAGTTTGGTGTGAAAATTGTTTTTGTGGCCTTATAATGCCAGTGTTTTTATTTTCTCTTTGATAACCGGTTTGTATGTCAGAATTTGATATTTGAATGATTTCTGGCACTATGTGGATCAATCAATAAAAATATGAAACACACATTTGCTTTGCCTTACTCATTGTTCCCTTGTTGTTAATTGCCTCCTCCGTGAAGACATTATGAGATGATGCTTATTTAACTATAGATCTCAGCCTTTTCCCCACTTTGAATCAAACTGAATTTAATTATCCCTTACACATTTGCTTTGATACAAAAAAATACTCTAAAATAATTATTTGTGTCTGTTTATCAAAGAATAACCGGAGAAACATTCTTACAATTAAATCGAAAAACTCGATTGTTGAATATGTCCTGGGGGCCACAGTCTTGAAAAGAGCCTGGTAAAGAGGTGGGAGGAACATGTATCTTTATCATCTTTCTCTTTTGGCCTTTCCTAACTGCTGCCATCAAAAGAAGTTTGGCACAATCAGGTAGTTTCCCTGTGGAATTGCAGCGCTCCACACAGAGTCATTTAGTCTGGGCCAATCCGAGGGCCATGTAGGGGAGACTGCCGCTGTGTCTCCAGGGGTGTGACAGCAGTATGTGGGTCAGAGCTGCTCCCGGGGCCACCAGCCCCCAGGGCCCCCTGCAGGACGGCCACAATAGTAGCCCCAGGGCGGATGCCATAGCTGGGATTCCCACCCGTAACCGGGACGCCTTCACCCAGGGCACAGACACACTGGCAGCAGCCCCACAATCAATTCATCAATCTCTGAAGGGAGTGGTTTCTGCAAAAGGCCACAGCAGTCCCCCCAACAGCCCACCTTGGAAGGGACAGGGCCACCAAGGCTGACACTGAGGGGGACACTGAAGGGGACACCATGGTGGCGACGCAAAACTGCCTGACTGCAGAAACCATGGAGGCCTTTATTGAAGCCACTTTTCTTGCCCTGACAATAGAGAATGTGAAAAATAATCCCTGAGCACTTATCTGTTAATTCCCACTGATATTTTCACTTTATTCTTTTTAAGTATGGAAGAATGGAAGAATCACACAGATGTTATTTAATTGAATGAAGTTGTGAAAATGTTTTCCAACATACTGAGAAATGTTTTGCAAAGTTTTGCATCATTACAGAGGCAACTGGACGAGTCTCAGTTGATTTTAATAAAATATGTATTGGTATGGGTCAAAGAATATTTATGTAAAACCATCATTGTAGGTGCAAACAGTCCTCCTCCTGGCCCTGAGGCAGATCTGATATCTGAGCTCTGAATCCTCTGTCTCTGTCTCCCCCTGCTGGACAGAAACTGATTGTGGAGAACAGCTTTAAATGTCATTTAATATTACAGGCTGATGCACAGATAATTACTGTTAATTGAAACCATGCTACAGTAATTATCATCATCATGTTTTTGTATATAGTGGCTTTAAGAACATATCAGATGGATCAAGAGATCAACATTACAATCACATTTTCATTGAAAACAGTTAATAATTACAATTGAATATGTTTTGAATTCCCTAACAAACAGCAACTGTTCTTCTATCTGTTTCTCATACAAAATCTGATTAACAGTACGTGTGTCGGAATCAGTTACTGGTGATCTATCCATTAGTGAGTCGTCCACTTTTCACTTGCTGCTCCATGTTCAGGAATCTCGTCTGCTTTGAGACCATTTTCTCAAATTAAGCATTTTCTTGTTTAGGGTTCAGAAGTCACTTGACCATCTGACAATGTGGCCCATTGTGACAGGCCGCTCCATACGCATCAAAGAAGTGATTAACCAGTTGACAGCGCTGTGGGGACAATAGTGCTCTTTACAGGGGAAACAGTGCAGCCACTCACTGCACTGGGTGCTACTGGGAGACCCCAGCACATGCTTCCACACAGCAGCTGACAACATGAAACCAAAATAACTGCACATAAAGGGACATATAGGGTCCACGTTGTTCACATGGATGCACATGCAAAAGTTTATCACACGCATTTCTTTGCCATATAATAATCTGCATATCATCATTAGTGTATGCACAAATACAGTCATTTTGGCATAAGTAAAAGTGCATGGATTGAAGTGTTTTTCAGCTTTATATTTTCCTAATGTGTTCGTTGTGAGGTACATTATTTGTTGAGGGGAACAAAAACAATCTCTTTATACATACTCTGCTTTAATCTAAGAGGATGTTAGCCAGTTTGATGCTAAATGCAACATTTTATTAAAAAAACGACGGACCAACCTCTGATTGGTCAATTTATAGGGCTCCTGGCCAATCACATGTGCGTCTAGGGGAGGGGGGGCCGAGCGTCAAAATAAACTGCCACTTGTTCGTTGTTTTCAGTTTTGCAATTGGCGCGATTTATCTGGTCTTATTACTGATGTTTTGTGCGACGTTTTAAAGAAGGAGTTGCATTTCTGCTTCATTTTGATTTAATGATATTGGATTTTTTCAGAGAAGGAGCCCTGAACATTTTTGTTTTGTTTACATCCACACTTTCCTACACAACATTGGCTACCTGGAGGACTACCTAAATCTGTGTGATGTGATACAATCTAACTAAATAGGCTCAACATCGACAAGATGATCTCATGGGGAGTCATACTTGTGTGTGTGTCATTATCATGGAGGCTAGAAACAGCATCATCCCAGACTCATGAAGGTAGGAGGATTTATCATTCCTTATCAGAAAACGTGTGAAGCCTGTTTTGATAATTCACTTGAAAAAAAGTTGTTTTGTTTGTCTTGCTTGAATGACTACTTTAGAGATTTAGAGCCTTTTATTGTCATTATACACAAAGTATAACGAGATTCAGAGATACTTGGTTTTGCATTTGGCTGCCTTTAAAGGTCACAGCTTCTTTTATAGTCTGTATTTTGTGGAATAGCATAGGACAAAAGATAACTGATAGAGAATAGAAAAGGATCAAATCATTAATTGAGGATGTAATCTACATTTATCAGAGGTTAAGGGGTCTATATTTTCTAAACCCTCAACTCTGCTTTCCCTTGTCCATCCTCACACAGCACTCACTGTGCTCTCCTGCTCGAGAGCTTTTTTACTGTTATGGGCTCTAATCAAGGCTCAGTCTTAAGGCAGCAATATATCACCACTTTATATGCTGCTAGTGATGACTGGCAGCAGTGGCCACCAAATAGCCTTCATGGCAATGACCCCAGTTGTAAAAAGCTACTGAGGACAATGGATCCTGATCATGTTCATTTGTGAAATCTTCAGATGATTTTATTTTTCTTCTAAAAGTTAAACACCCTAATTGAGTTTTAATTGTGTCAACAGTCTGAATTATAATGAAACTCTCTTAGATAAGCTGTGTCTATTATATTCAGTCCCATGCATTAATGAATAACTATGAACATTGCTATACAGTCATCGGTCAACTTGCACTTTTCCATAAATCACACACAAACCAGTTCATAGGTGATACATGTTTTAAGTGTTGCTTTACACCGTTGCATATTCTCAACAAAGACAGGAAACGTGTCTTGTGTTGACGAGCAGGTGTCTTATCTCTGCACACAAGGGCCAGTGCCACAGTTTTTGTTGATGAGTACGAGATGGTGTGCATGTCTCATTCCGTCCACGATATTTCCCTTCCCTCTGCCAGAAAGTCCTACTCACACACGGCCCATTGTCTGTGGGTATGATCTCAGCAAAGCAGACACACTCACACATAAATACGCACATGCACACACACAGAGCCACTGTCACTGCATCACTCTTCAGTCACTGGGACACACAGTCCACATTTATAGCTTTATCACAATGAGGAACTTTGTCTGAGGAAGCCCCTCTGCCTCGACCCTCCATCCACTCCATCAGCCCCAGGCCTGCTTCACGTACCAGGGATTCAGCCTGCCTGTTTTACTGTGCTTCACATCGAACTCTCCAGCCAACACAGCAGCACACACACAATATCAGACTAGACTCACCACGCCCATAAATACAGCAGAAACCGAATAACGCCAAATCTCAAACACTCATCATTGGTTCATCTTTAAAGTACCATACACATGTTTTTGTATATTTTAGCTCCTTTACCACTTAATCAAGCAATGCATCACAGTCTATATTATTCTTTGTCCAAACCACACACATTGTATTGCAGTGCCGTGTAACTGTGACCAAATACACACTTGATGACACACATTGAAAAAAGCTTTAATTGTCTGCTAAATTATATCAAGCATTACAGAGATGAATGGAACTCAGACAGGAAAATAAATGCGAAAATACAAGGGCATAGTTTGAGATTTAATAAGCTGTGATATAAAGTAAATTATATCACAGCTTATTATTTGGCAGTGGCAGTGGCTCAGTCAGTAGGGGCTTGGACTGCGAGCTGTAGGGTTGCCGGTTCAAGTCCCCGACCAGACCTAAATATGGAGTGTGGACTTCTACTTAGAGAGGTCCCAGTTCACCTCCTGCCCTGCCGTGGTGCCCTTGAGCAAGGCACCAGACATCCCCCCTTGGTTTTGTCAAACTTAGAGTAATATGTGTGTCTCTTGTATGTCAGTGGTGTGTTCAGGTACGCAGAACGGACTGAGCTCCACAGGTTCTCAGGAGATTCAGTACAATCTGATTAAGGAACGATATGATGGCTGTGAGATCATCATGGGAAACCTGGAGATCACTCAGATTGAGAGTAACTGGGACTTTTCCTACCTCAAGGTAAACATCCTCTCTGCCTTTTTCTTTCTCCTGATTTAAATGTAGAAGGTGTTTAAGTGTGCTCTTCTTTTTCCCCTCCAGACAATCCGAGAGGTGACTGGCTACGTCCTTATTGCCATGAACCATTTTCAAGAGATTCCTCTTGGCCAACTTCGGGTCATCAGAGGAAACAGCCTTTACGAGAGACGCTTTGCCCTCTCTGTCTTCTTTAACTATCCCAAGGACGGCTCCAACGGCCTGCGGCAGCTAGGACTCGCAAATCTGACAGGTAAAAGAGGGTTTAGAGATTAAACAGAAGCATGGAGTGTGTAACATGTTCGTTATCTGAAGTGTCTGCTTAACATATCCTGTCTGCTCTCTCTTTGAGCATAATGTCTCACCATTTCTTCACAGAGATTCTGGAGGGAGGCGTGCAGATTATCAACAAC